ATTTCGGTCCGCGGGTCCACCAGCGACCGGCATGGGGTTGGGCCCTGCCCTGCTCCTGCCAGCGCCGGCCGCCTCGCCCACCCCCCTCCCTCTGCCCCTCGCTGCGTCAGCGGCGTAGCCAACAGCTTTAGCTTAGCTTGAGGCGAGAGGGGGAGGGAGTGCAACACCTTAAACTGTGTGCGCGTCTCTGCGCCGTAGAGTCGGCCCGGCTTCCAAAATGCTTTGCAATCATTCTGGACTGGTTGTTTGCCTTATCACTTCCATTTTCCTGAACGGCCGGCGTTGTGAAGCTCTCTCTTATTTAGCTTGGACCAAAAGAAAAAGATAAGAAAGGATAATGATAAGGACGAGGAAAAAAATTGGGTTGTGCTTGTGCGTGCGTGCGTTGGGTGCTAGGGGCGGCCAGCTCAGCACCACCCACACGGAAATGCGTTTTTTGTTTCTTAGATATTCAAAACACATTCCAACAAAGGAGCACAAAATAAAAGCAAATGAAGTAAACTGTACCTGCCGCCCTGGTCCGGCTGGGGTTCGATGCCCGGTCCCTGGTAACCAGTTTCCTCGGCGCGAAGCATGATGCCCGATCAGAGGCCCGAGCTGGGGGGAAATGGACTGAGCTTATGGAAAGTCGAAAAAGAGGCGAAAACTAAGTAACTTTTTTTCAAAATTAGAACAAGCATTCAAACTGTTTGGGTCCAGCGTCTAATTGTTTCATTAGCAAAGCGACTTAATTGTTCTTAGTGCATGCCTGACATCAAACTGTTGTATTACTTCGTATAATTTTTGTTAACTTGTTCAGTGTCAATGCTCGTTGTGAAGTGTAACATTTCCTAAAAACGAACTTTTGTACAACTTCGACGGTCAATAGTTTCTTGTCTGCCGAGGAGTTGCGGACGGCGGGGGAGGAGGGGTTCTCAGAAGACTCGCTAGAAACAGGGAATTTTTGGCAGCGGCGGCGGCGGCGGCCGGTGAAAGGAGTAGGCGGAACTGGGAGGACCTCGGGGAGGACGCATCGCCGCCGTCAGGGCCAACTATTCCAAGCGGGCGACACGGCGCCCGACGCGCCTCACGGTTTAAAACGGATAATCGCCCGATAACGGGTCAGCTCTATGAATACTAGTTGTAAAAAAATATCTATATAGTCAGAAAAGAGGTATTGTTTGCAAGGACCCCCAGCAGGAACATCTTTGTACATGAAAACGGGCACAACAATCGTGGTGGGCCTGGGTGTCCGAAAAGTTTATCCCCCGGTTTTCGAGGAATTGTGTGACTGCTTGTTTTCCGCCGCCCCCGCGCCGCCCCCGCCCGCTTCGCCGCCGCGCCGCGCCCGCGAGATGCGTTTCCGCCGCTAAGCGCATGGTCGTAAGGCGTGCCCGCCCGGCCGGTCCGCCCCGCCCTGGCCTGCATGCCGAAAGGAAAAACTGCAGCGCGCGTTCTATTTGCTACTGCTCCTCGCAGTGCTCTGCGCCGCGCGCGCGCGCCGAGTGCGCCGGGAGCCAGCTCAGCTACCACGGGGCTGGGGTAAAGGAACTCTGTAGTGCAACA